TATTGAAGCATATATTTTGTACCTTAGTTCATATAGAGTGTTAGTTTGCATTTAAACTGCCTACCGCAATATTCACAACAACAAAAGCAGCCTCTTATTTCTGTCAGCTGCAGGCTGCTTGCAACGCTATCGTGCGTCAGTCCCCTTAAGAATCCTGCTGATGCGAATTCCCCGCATGTTTATAAGAAGAGCCCTCATGGAGATACGGAGAGCCCTCACGAAGATACGAAGAGCCCTCACGAGGATACGGAGAGCCCTTACGAAGATACGAAGAGCTCTCACGAAGATACGAAGAGCCCTCACGAAGATACGAAGAGCCCTCACGAGGATACGGAGAGCCCTTACGAAGATACGAAGAGCTCTCACGAAGATACGGAGAGCCCTCACGAAGATACGGAGAGCCCTCACGAGTTTATTGCAGATATAAATTCCCATTTCAGGAGTAACTTCTCAATTCTGTAGTATACGTTAATGTACTCTATTGCATTTTAGGTGCGGAAGCAATGCGTCAATTTAGAATATTTAGGATTGTCGTAATACGTCACATGAGATGAAGGCCTTGAGAAAAATTGGAGTTGGTACTATAGTACTATAGTGACAATGCTATTGTGATTTACATGCCAATTTCGGTACCAAGTGTTAGTTCCATCGTATGATATCAGCATTCTATTTTTGATAGTCGGGAGCGGCCGCCATGTTACACTGAGCAGTTTTTCACACTTTCGTCGCTAGGCCAATAGATTAACATTTTGGTTAGCATCACCAAGCATATAATTTTTCCTACCAAGTAAATCCATTATTAAAATTAGCTCCATGCATGCAACAGGAATACGCGGCTGATACGACGCAGGCGCCAGCATTATGCGTTGCTATGGCGCCTCTCGCTCGGTCGCTAAGGACGCTAGCCGTGATGGCCGTAGTTGTACGGCTCCTTCAATAAAGTTCTAACTCCTGCAATAGTCCTTGCAGTAGTTCAATAACCTACTAGTTAAACTATAGCTACTTTGATGTTTCTTGCATGCTGTTCAACATTAAATATTGCAACAATTTATAGAGTAGCTCTCGCAATGAATCTTGCCACATCCATTACAGTCGCTTTGCAGTAGCTCCCAGAATATCCCGAACGTTGAAATTATCTTATGTCGCAATGTCGAGTTCTCTGTATTCCATCGGTATCTCCGTCTCCAGTCTAGACGTGGTTGCCGTGAGAATTCACGACGTCACAGCTCTACAGGCAGCTGAACGTTTCGGTAACGTTGTATCGACGTTCCAGAGGCAATATAGTTCCGACGTCCCACGGGCTGGAGTTTTGACGAGAGCGCAGCTGTTAGTCACAAATTTAACTCTTAAACTAGCCTTGGACTCGACGCTCAGCATAAACATGCACAGTTACAGAGCTACAAAGTCGCAGTTCGAGCTAGAAACACAAGTTCCGAAATAACTTAAGGCCATAGCGCAGCGACTTTTCATATGCATCCCGTCTCGACATCACACGGGGTTATAGTTTCGATGGTACATTCAGCGGATGTCGACGTCATAACAACATGTGGCGCTCGATGCTCCAAGCTTAGCCATAGCAAAGCATGTATCTGGAGCACTCTGACACTTGATCCAATAGAATCACGACTTCCAATAAGCATATAATGTGCTTCTGACATTCGGTTTTCTTGATAGTTAAACTTTTTGCTGTATGTATTTATGTTTTTTACGCAGGACGAGGTGGCTACAGCAATCGGCGTGACGCAGCAATTCCCGTGGCAGCCATGAACGCCTTGCCCCTGGTGAGCCATATAGCCTTGTAAACGATATCTCTTGTTTGTCGTGCCTATTTCTCAGTTTATCTTAATATAAATATTCAAGATTATATAAATGGAAGATAATCGTAGAGTGTTTGTGAAGTGACGTAACCTAGGAGCTGTTCATCCAGCACAAAATCTCATGTGAATGCGGATGAGGCCATGTAGAGACGTGGCTATTGAATTAATGATTAAAGACAAAGGGAGCGGAATCGAGACTAGTAGTAAATGAAAAATTACAGTTAGTAAATTGAGAAATTGGAGAAAAAAATTCCCGAACTTAAATGAGCATGTATATAATAATAATAATAATAATAAATATTTAAAGGCATGCTATTTAAGTTTTATCATGATAATAATTGTTAGTGAGGAACAACTGAGTGTAGGTTACTAATGTCATACTGGACTTTATTATGGAGAGAGTGCCTGGAACGAATGAGTGTATCGACATATAAAATAATTTAATCAATTTGTAATCTTTGAGTAGTATATGAAATCAATAAGATCTTAAATTAAACCTAATGCTTCGCTTCAGATTTGAAAGAAAAGCTTCTGTAAATAATGGTCTGCTGTGGGCTACATTCACACCTCATAAATAATGTTATGTAAAATTAAAACATTCTCTTAGGTTTTTTTAAACTTATCCTTAATATATGTGCCTTTGTAAGTGAGTATTGGTCGTGTCCTCTTTATTTAATCAATCCCTGGTGATTTACAGATAATTCTACATAATAATCTTAAATAAGTCGTTACACTAAATAAACACGCATTAGCTGATTTAAATATTTAACTTGTAAATGTTTGCCGCTTAACTGAGCGTCTCGCCTTCATAGCTCGCGTAGCTCCGACAGCTTTCGGTGGTCTAAAGCTATCCAGGTAAACAACGTGCATGGGTCTATTTATGGCCATTTCTAAACATACTTTACTAAATCTTCTCGAGATAAACAAATGCATGGTTACAATTTTTAAACTTTTTATGCCTACTGAACAAGACTACGACGCTCAGCGACTTCATTGAAGAAATCAATGAAATTTTATGAGCGAATTGTTCTGATCTACATGAGTGTGGAATAGTGTACCGTACAACGTTATATACGGCTGGTTTTTCTTCTGTTTCTAATGACACCGTCGCAATATATGAGGCTGGTTTTTTGTTTGTTACTAATCTACTCGTTACATTAGAATCGGCAGGTTGTTTCATCTATTTCTAATCTACTCGTCACATTATATAAAGCAGGTTCTGAGGCTCCACTTCTAATGTAATTGTCGCATTATAGATGAAGAGATTCATCCGTCAATTTTCAATCTAACTGTGACATTATGCGGAGCTGCTTATTCCATTTATATAAAATCTAGGACTTGCTCTCATATAAAAATATTAGTCTCTTCTAAATCCTCTTTCTGTCTAATTCTTCTTGGGACAGGGACTCTTAAGGTGGTCCTATTGGTGCTGGCCCGACTATAATACCATCAAGCATAATATACAATATTAATAAATAATTTTAAATATTATATTAAACTGTGGAAGCAGTAACATCAATTACTGTGGGTGTTGGTTTTTATCTCAGTAATGGATAATGATTAATCATTATCATTATAACCGACGTCAGATGGGGGAAACTACCGACGTTATATAACCGACGTCAAATGGGCAACCGCTAAACGTGTAAATCACGTGATCACTCCAAGGATATTATCTTAACTAATAATATTTATTGAAAAATATCTTAAAAATAATGCATAGCTGCAATGTAAAACGTTACCCAAAGAGAACGACCAAAGCCTTAGTCGACGACTAATTTTTGAACCTGGATGCCATGTGTATAATTAAAGCTTTTATATAAATAATTAAGTTTTAATGAAACAAAAGCTAAAGTTGCTCATCTTAAATTGAAAAAATCGCTCCTGTGAACGTTGAGATTTGGGTGAGGATAATTGTTTAGAGGTACTTGGTTAGATTGTCTGCCTCGGTCAGCTTCGTTCGTTTTTCGTAGCTAATTAAATTATATGTTAAGTTTCAACATAATTTACAAAAGTTTTCATTAGCAACTGAGCATTTCAGTTATACATTTGGATTAACTCCCCTGTCGGCTAGCTTGTGGTATAAAATCGTTTATTGCTGCCTCCACAAGATTCAATTGTGAATAAGAAATTGTTATTCTATTTAATGCTTGTAGATGTGGCTTCCAATATTTATTGTTGGATTGTGTACGCAAGTAATCCTAAACAGTAATGAACGACTATAGTTAGTTTCGTAGAACGCCACGCAGTTTAGTAGAGTTCGACGTCCCGGAAATGCCTCCCTAAGCACAGTACGCAGTTCCATCACTGATTTCGTTTACGCAGATTAACCTTATTACGTACGCCTGCTCCGTAGGATGGATTTTAACCTGCTTGAGTTACGTACTCTACGATTCTAATTTTTGTTCGTGATATATGTATATTATATGTTATGTTATGAAATATTTATTTCACGCTGAAGACAGTAATGACCTAAATAGCTAAGGTTAAACCTAATGTAATTCGATAATACGATTCAGATTGTCGAATGATAATACCTGGGCAAACTGGACCTTCTTGATGCCTGCTGCCTCAAGCCTCTCAGCCGCGACGGATTACATAGCATAGTTAAATTATTATTCTCATTGTTTTAGTTAAAAATTGCACTCGCCATTTTTATGGATTTTGAGCAATGCATGTGTTTCCGTGAGCCTTTAATAATTGTAAATTCTTTTCCATATTTTGTTAGTTATTGTTAAGTCATCACCCGTTCTGATGCTTTCTCGTACAGTAGAAATACTTGCGTTCGGCCTGCTTTTTATTTATTTTTGACTAATCTCAAAATTAGAAGGGACTGCTTGTAAGTAAATATCTAAACAAATATCTATAGATTAAACCCATTGTTTATTTTGGTAGCTTTTATCTGCTTCAAATCGTTAAACATTCTGCGTGCTGTTGAACCAAATATCAACGTTGGTGGTGGTAGCCGTGATGGCTACTTTCCGAGTTCTGACCCACGCAGGTGCAGAGCAGCAAGAGCCGCCCTCCGGCACCTCTTGGAGCCGAAGCCAGCACCAGCCGCAGGGTCGGCGTCGCGAGCCCCGCAGTGTCGGCTTTACTTGGTCTTGCGAATGAAGGAAACGTCGGGAGCGCAGCCCCTTCAATATTCTGTCCCACTGGAGGCTGGAAGTCTGCAGCCGACTTCGCTGGACTCAAAGCAACTCCCACAATATTCGGAAGTCTGATCTCAGCAGCCAAGCTACCACAAGTCCAGAAACCTATGAAAGTTGATCGCAACATGTCTGTTGTCATCACGAAGAAAGTTTCTCAACTTAAGGTTTGATTCATATGATATATGTTCATATAAATCCTCTGTAGAATTATTTCCCGACTCACCGAGCATTTCGGTGCACGCAGGGATGCTTGAAGAAATTATCCTGTTGGATTCATGTAGAGTAGTAGTCTCCATCCTTGCTGCAACTACAAAAAACTACAGCTCTGCCAGTTTTTTTATTACAAGCTAATGAGTATTTTTATAAAGATATAATTTGTCCTTTATTCCACTAAACTTTAGGGGCGCAAGACCAATTTCAGCTCATCCCCCGGGATGGTGACGGTGTCCATTCCGCCGGACCCGGAACTAGCAAATCTTTTCGTCATGCCTCCCACCATCGACACGGAGACTCAAAATGCCCCTCAGATGGCGCACCATGAGGTAATTTCCTTAACTAATGGTGTATCATGTCTGTGCAAGCTCGTAATAACTTTCAGTTTCAAGAAGTGTGGAATATTCAGGTGGGGAGAAGGTAATGAAGCATTCCTTTGAAAAACAATTATTTTACTTTCAGCGTGTTATTGCTTCAAGTTTACCTTGCTCCACGACTTCACAGCGAAATACTTTATCTAATAAGTGATATTACGTAAGCAGATGTTAATTTTACGGATCAATATTACAAGTTTACCGAAACCTAAACTATTTAAAACAATAATAACTCGTGCATTGTGTTTATATCGTGGATTCCACCGAGCCACAATTAGAGAATGCCGCAGGTGAACACACAGACCCAGGAGTTTGCGAGTTCAGGGGTGAGGCACGTCGAAGGAGGCTGGCCAAAAGACGTCAACTACGCCGAGGCAGATCAGACTCTGCGGTACAGGAAGAAGATCGAGAAAGATGAATTTTATATCCAGAGTGTCTTGCAGCTGGGAGCAGTGAGTTGCCTGGCCATTTTATTACCTTCATATTATCTCCAATTATTTCTTAGAAAGCAATTGAGGAGTAATCATAATTAAGTCCAGTCCATTATGGCATCTGAGCAAAATTTTCTATTTTTCTAATGCAGAGTCTTTCTTTATTTGAATGAACGTTTCAGAAAATTGAACACTGCATTCGACAAAACAACGCAGTCGATATTTACGAAGATTATTGGGCGGGCTTAGAAGGAACTTCACCGCTGCTGGTGAGCGATGACCCAATCAAAACCGTCGACGTAGTGAGGGACCCATTAGCCGGCGTGGGGCTCCCGCTTCCGAACGAGGAACCCCAAAAGAGACAAACCGGAGCCCCAAGGGACGCCCAACTTTCAAAAGACAGCATTCTTAGTACAGGAAGCTCTATGGGCTCCTTAGAAGACTGCCGTCTCTCTGTTCGAGATAGCAGGAGGCCTCGAGATAAAGATGAAGCCACCGCTGGGAAACTTGCAGTTTCTGTGGCGTCGTCGCCCAGCAACGACGACGCAGGTGCTAAGAAGTCCACCGAGCTGACCACTCGAGGCAGAACCTTCCAAGGCAGAGCAGTGACCAGCATCAACTTCGCGCCTGGACTAAATTCCCGCAAAGTCGCCGCCGCTTACAGCTCGACGGTCTTCCAGTGCCCTGCGGTGGACGTTCCCAGAACGGCTTACGTTTGGGATATCAGTGAGTTTGGTATTTGAACATTTTCTTCCTGTACTCGGAGAAATTAATGGTTCATATTTTACAAACAGTGAAATACTTTCTTACTCACAGCACGAGCAGATATTGCGCATAAAACTGACAGAGTGACAGCCCACTCGTCAGACACAAGTGGGTCAGGATGATCCACACAGAGGCAAGGAGTGTATCAATATTTGGACAAAGTCTAGCTGAATTCTCTGGTTTGTCAATTCGCAGCACTCAAATATGGCACTCAAAGACCTCAGAGCCTAGTTTGGTGAACGATTGAATTTAATTGCCAGTAAGATTTAAGTCCCAGCCCAGGTATACTCGTACGAAGACAATTGTTTCCCCCAAAATACCAAGCATTAATGTATCGCCAGGCTCAACAAGTCGCACAGACGTCAGCTTGGAAGGACCTTGTTGGGTTCACACGCTGCGCTACAACCCCAGAGAGCCGTCAGTCATAGGAGCAGGTATGATCACTCTACTCCGGTAGTGGAGTGAAGTGATCCCAAGTGACTTCACTCACTTGACATTTTGGCGTAAGTTGAATTGTTCCAGGGATTCAACGCTTACACCAAATTTTACGTCAACCTACACATATAACGAATAAATGAATTTGTCAGCGTTATTGACTCGCGCCTAACGTCATTCACTGAATGTTCCCGAATTGTACATCATGACATCTGTAAAAACAATCTTTTTCCAGGGCATTTTTTGTCCATGCCACAACTCTTTGATCTACTTAGTACGTTCTCACTGTACTTGTAAGTACTCATTTTTCGACTTTTATTTTCTTAAGATAAATTTTAATTCTGATAACTCGTAATATGAGCGTATATTTTGTTTTCATTGTTCATCGATTATTCATTTTTATAGAGATTGAAAGATCAAAAAGTATTCCTACACATCTAACGCCATTACTGCTTAGTAGTAAGTTAATTGGTAAAAGATTCATATAAAACAATGGCCGGTCTTCTGCAGGGCTACGTAACGGTCAGTGCTGCTGGTGGGACACGCGGGTCGGGCCCAAGCCTGCTGCTCTGTCCCCTCTGGGCACCTCCCACAAGCAGGTGAACAGCGACCATCAAACCCAACACTTCAGCCGAAATAAGTGAAGGATTCATTTGTGCTCGTTTTAACCTACGTATTTACGTAGTGAAGAATTTTTCCTGCTCAGGTCGTGACTGGCATCGGGTGGATGTCTGCCAAAACCCGCAGTGAACTGCTCTCGCTGGCTCTCGACGGAAAGGTGATACTTTCAGCTCGTTGTCATTATGGTATCTTCTTCAGGTCAATATCAAAACCAAACTTTCTACGTTATAAATATGAGGAGAGATTTATCACAAAATAAATCAACAAAAAATATAATTAAAATGCCCTTACAATGAGCGACATAAGGCAGCAATAACAAAAAATTATAGGGGCAGTATTCGGTGATCGTGTATTTCATAATATTATCTAGGGCGCATTTCGTATCATCTCCAATGCCTATAAGACCTAAAAAAATCGAACAAAACGTTTTGTTAGTGATTACCTCAGGCAAATGGTCAACAAAACAGACTAAGGCATGCAGTTTACAATTATGGGTGATAGATTAAAACTATTTCTAATACTAATACAAGGATCGCAAATGCTTACGTGTAACTCGTAAGACTATCCTATATAAAAAATACTTTATATTATCTGCAAAAAGTAAAATTTCGGGCCTTGCAGATGTTCTGGTGGGATACCCGGAAATTCTCCGCCCCCGTGGAGGCGGTCAGTTTGGTCCCGGGATCGTCCTCAGAGGGCGACGTGCCTCCCACCGGAGGTGGGGAGTATACGAGACCAATAGTTTTTGATTCCTGCTATACCTCATATACCTAAATAACCCCCATAAACATGTTAGGAATATGTTTAAAATAAATCAAGGACGCATTTCCAACGGTCATATTCTTAAGCCAGCATTCTAATTACCATTTAATATGAAGAATGTGAAGTGCTGCCGCGACCACCAAACTAGATTTAACAGTGAAAAAATATAGCACAGCTACAATTCCGCCCGCCCTCTCCGTTACCGACTTGCTTTATTAGTTACAAATAAAATCAAACATTTCTTGTGGTGTGCATTGTTCCCTTTCACTTCTGAATACTTTTCTACACTGGACCAGAACCCGGTACACAAAAGATGCTTATGTAGCTGAAATTTGTGCTCCACATGATGCTCGCACTGCACATGATGCTCACACTGCACGTGATGCTCACACTGCACGTGATGCTCACACTGCACATGATGCTCACACTGCACATGATGCTCACACTGCACATGATGCTCACACTGCACATGATGCTCACACTGCACATGATGCTCACACTG